GTAGCCAGCCGTTCCTACTTTGCGAGATGAGCCGTTGACACAACTATTTTTAGTTGTTCCTGCAAACTTTTATTAACTGCATTTAAATCGATCTTTTCCCTTTCGGCTTTGGCTAATCTCTCTCGCAATTGTGCAACTTCTGCTATTATTTTATCCTTTTCTCGTTTTTCTGCTGCTACATGTCTGAGGAATTCTTTCTGTGCGGCAGAATAATCCAATTCTGCTTGCCAAGCTCGTCTTAGTTCGGATGCTGCGCCATAAGGCATAAAATGCACTTTAGCATCTGGCATCGTTACTTTGACCATACGCGTTTCTTCTGAAGTAGCATAGATTCCTGTGGAGTATCTACTCGCATTCGCTGCATTTATTGACGTTGTAACAGTTGTTGTTGCTGTTGACATTATATGTTGTCCTATATTTGGTTGTGGTTCGATTGTTGTGCTGTTGAAGTCAAGTCTTCGACGTCTTGTATTCACCAGTTCATATGTACCTTCATTGCCATTATCTTTCTTCTTGTATAGGCAGAGTTGCAGAATTATCTATGGCTATGCCATGTGGCGAGCTTGTTATCAATTGTTCCTTGTCATCTAAATTCACCTGTTCTGTTGCGTCGAGAGCTTCTTCTGCATTCCTTACGGTTTGTAAATCTCTCTTAATTTCTGCTGGCAGAGTGTCTGACATGAAGAACATACGGCTAAGATTGTCTCGTCTTTTTTGTGCTTCTTCTTCATTTAAATCTTGCGTTGCTATGAAATCTTCCGCTGTATAATCGCCGTTTAACCTACGGAATAGTCGATTCGCACGCTCGTATAACGATCCGTCGGTTCGCAATTCCAATTGTGTCAATGCACCGTCAACTTGTACACTAGACAAGTTTTTGATCCAAGTTGTTAATTTTCTATCAATATCCTCTTTGAATATTGATAGATCGCTAATTGACCAATTTGTTGCCATTGTATATCTATTTAGCAATGGGTTAAACGCAACGTTGACGTTTTACAAAAACAAAAAAAAACGATAGCAAGACAATCCAACCAAGAAAAAAAACAACAACAATTAAATTATTGTAATATACATGAAATATTTCTGCGTCAAACTGCAGCAATAATTACAAAAAAATATTTCATATTCGCGTCAAAATGCAGAGTCTATAATAGATAATAAGAGAAAAGAATGTAAAACAGTAAAACAATAATAACGGGAAAAAAATTGACGAGATATTTGAAATAAATATCAGGCTTGTGCTGGTATTAGCAACGTAACGTATAAGCCAGAATGTAACGGGTGTGAGAGAGAGAAAACAAGAAAGAAAAAAAATTTATTATTAATAATAATTATAATTAAAATTGGTTTAATTATTGTTTAAATATTATTATTTTAATTATGCAATTGGACGCAGAGTTAAATTAGCTAACGCCTCGCCAACTAAACTACTCAAAAGACAATATCGGAACAAATTATAGATTAATTAATATATATTGAAATCATAAAAAGAAATTGTATAAAATATTAATGATATAAGGCTTAGCCGCGCAGTATTTATTGTGATTTCGAATCACGCATATAGTATTTGAAATATACAATTTTCGTGTATACGGCCAGCATGGCAACCTTGAAAATAAATATGATTTTCCAACTTCGAATATTCGAATAAAATCTATAATTCTCCTTTGCTTAGAATATCGGTGTATCGCTCGACGAGTTTACACTTGTTCGCTAGCGTCGCACATGTGGCTCGCCGGGCGGCTCGTGTTTGTCAACAACACGCCGCGAGAGATCGCACACTCCTTGTCCTTGTGAGAACACCTATGGAAAAATTTTTCTCGGTGCGATTTTCGCTACGCAGCCAGCACCAGAACGTTTGGGCGCCAAAATGTAACGGGGATTTAGTCCGCTACAATATTTAATAACCGAGAGATGCGTAATAGATGACGAAGCGGGCTCGTGCAACGGCTTTGCACGACCGACCCAGTAGCACAGACTGCCGATAGATTCGCCGGGTGGCAACGGCCCGCGGAGAGCGTCGTAGGTTGCGTAGCTGAAATCGCGAAGGTGTAGGAAACGAAAGGAATGATAGAAGGCGCAGAGTGAAAGAGGCGATAGGTGCAATAGAAATATATATATTTTACGTATATTTGTACAGGGCAGTGCAGAGAGAGAAGCAAAGCGGGTAATGCGAGAGAGACGCAAAGAACGAGTGGTACTTACATCGGCTGCCGCTGTCGGTGAGATTAGCCACGAGGCTCGACAATAAAAGTTCGGTCTATCAAACGCCGATACACGCCTCAACCGGTAGCACTCAACCTAGCACTCGGTCTGTCACTCGAACTAGCCACGAGGCGACGCAAAATCACAAAACGAATGTCGTCGTCAATGGCATAGCCAAGCTATAAATCTCTAAGGCAGTCGCACGCGTGTCACCAATTCGAGAGGCCTCAGCTAATTGCTTGTCCTTTGTCAAGCAGTACCTATCTTTCGCGGCACCCCGGCTCGCCAGTCCTACCAACCTACGCGGTCTCTCTCTCTGCTAGCGTTCTCTCTCTTACCTTAGTTCAGCTGCTGTCATCCACTGCGGCTGCTAGTAGTATAATATAAAAGTAGATACATGAATATGTACATATATTATTGTTATATAATTAATGTGGAGAGAGAGACATAACGAGTTGTTGACAAACTCGTTATAATATAATCAAATTTATAGAAGAAATAAATTTCATAACACTTATTTAAAAACACCTCTTTATAAAAATATTGTATCACGCATATGTAGATAATTATATCCAATGTATATGTAAAATTGAACAACCAATGTATTAATTTTGTTAAGTGGCTAATACCCAAACTGGGGGAATCGTTGTGAAATAAATAAAATTAAAAAAAATTTTTTAAAAATTGTTTGATTTCTAAATTAAACTCATTAGAACACATTTTTATTCATCAATATAGCCCAGAATAACAGTGCACAGTGCGTTCATCTCCCAGAGACGAACAGGAGCTCGAAATATAAAAAGAGAACATACAGTCTAAATGGAAATCATTTGCAAAAAATTATTCATTCATCTCCAAATTAATGCCAAAGTCAGAACGTTTTAAAAAACTTTAATACATCATATATTTAGAATAACTTATTGTATATGTCTCTTATGAATGAATAAAAATATTTTTTTTAACATATAACAAATTGTATTTTTTTTTCTTTTCATCTATTATTCATCACTCGTACGTACAGAGGCTTGGGGAATGGAGTCGATCGGTAAAATAGCATGGGAACTTTTATCGGGCCGCGATACACATGCCAAGGTCTATATGTGACCAGCCGAGGTCGATAAAAAAAATGCCGGTACACCAGGGTGATTTCTTTATCAACTGCTGGAATAGAAGAAAGTAGTTGCTTAGTTGGTAAATGTGGGCGAGGATCCCCAAAGCTTCTACTACTTCTAGTGAATCATATGCACTAGGCATAAGAGAACTGAAAAAATATCTAAATAAATACTTTGAATACATCATCTTTACTTATGCAATTTATTACTACGGTTCTATTTTTAGTTTCCACTGTTTCTTCAATCGGGACAATGATATTATTTAGTAGCTTCTGCTTATTTTAGTGGTTGATTATACGGGCCAAAAATTTTCAAAACAAAAAACCGGAAGTAGTATATCCGAAAAAATTTAGTATCCTGAATTCGAATCTGGACTCAGAATTACTTCATCATACTAGGTTTTTGATACATCTCGATTTAAAAGTGTCAAAAAAAACACTTTTTCGTAGTTTGTGGACTTTTCTCACATCGCGAATTTTTAATTTATTGTAAATTGGCATAGGAAAGAGTAAATCTTCTTCAAAAAGCATTAGTTAATTTTTGAAAACCAATTATTACAACTAGACATATCGTTCAATGAAAAAAAGAAAATGTAGATTTTAGGTACACAAAATATATGAGAAAAAATTTTTCAGAATTGAAATAATAGATCAAAGCTTTATTTTTTTTTATCACTTAATCTGAATTTATAATATGATCTACATGTGATGCGCTTAACAAGTGTTAACATTTTTTCCCACATATTACGTATATACCTGAAATATTAATTTTCTACTTTTCAATGAACGACATCTCTGGTTGTAATAATCAGTTTTTAAAAAATTAGGTAATATTTTTTGAAGTAGAAAATTTGTTTTATCCGATACCGTTACCAAATTTATAAAATTTAGAATGAAAATTCACAATGTGAAAAAAGACTAAAAACTACGAAAAACAGTATTTTTTGCATTCTCGGGATCCAGGTTAGAATATTTCAAAACCTAGGGTGATGATGGAGTAATTCTGAGTCCAGATTCGAATTCAGCACACCAAATTTCTTCGATTACACTATGTCTGGTCTTTGATTCCGAATTTGTTCGAAATATTACATGTCTGTGTTCAGGTGCTTAAGTATTTGATTGCAATTACTTTCAACAGTGCTATATTTATAAATTTTGGTAAATACCTTTAGTTTGAATCAGCAATGTTATTTCCTAATGTTTGTTCGAGGGTGTATTTATTTTGCAATTCAACTGTCTAAGCAATAGAATTTTTGCTTCTAAAATAATGAGTCGTCCAGCTCTTGACTAGTAATAGTTAAATTAAAAGAAAAATCTTGTTCAACTTTTTATTTTTCAGATAATTTTATCTAGGAAATCAATTACTAAAGTTATTACTCATTACTAAAGTTAGCGGTTTGAGTTTCTTGTAGGTTCACATATTTGTGACTTGAAGAAATTACAATTCCATTTAGAGAATTATATTTCAAGTGAAATAAATTTGAACTCGATATGAGAGACAATCGGCATTATGCAGCCATCTATTTATAATTACTATTTAACTGCTCACAAGTGCAGTTTACAGTTATATTTATTTATTTAGTCAATTATTAGACTAAGTTATATTTATCATTTTGGCGAATTTTTTTATTATATAAAAAAATCTATTAAGAAAGAGTTTAAAAATCATATAAATTATTACCTGAACTTATTTGTAGCTAATTCGCCAAGTTCGTAAAATTTGATTTCTTCTGAGAACACATCAAGAGGTACATTTACAGGTCTACGTAATCGGCCACCACTTTGGTAGTAATATAAAATGGCATCAAACGATGGTCGATTACGATCAAAGAAATATTCGTTGCGTAACGGATCAAAATACCGTATTCTTCGAGATGGATCACCTAGTAAAGTGTCGGGAAATTGATTGAGGGTCCTTAATTGCGTTTCAAATCGTAAGCCACTAACCTGTAAATCAAACAAATGTTGGATATAGCTTATATAAAATAAATAGATTTTAACATATAAATTGTTTCTCTTAATCTATCCGAATCAACGTCGTAATCAATAAAACCATACTATTTCTTCAATTTATTTTACATTTTTAATAAAACTCTCATTAGTTTCTTAATAACACTCATGAAAACCATACTTAAGTATACTTCTAGATAAGATAACTATGCGATGGATAATAAGAGATAACAAAAATCAAAATTATTTGCGGAAACTGTAATAACCCAATTAATCTTACGTATTCGATGCGAAGCGTGCATGTAATAGCTCTACGGACAAAGAGCAGCGAGCGTCCCGACACTGCATGTTGTTGTCGAGCGAGCGCCGATGTAAACATAAACACGCGGGCCGACTCTAATATAGCATTTAAAAGATAATAAAGAGTTTTCGTACACGATATTAACAAGTACTTTCGACGTGTTTATGTCGTATTGATTCCACTCCTGTAGATCTGTAGATTTGTTGGTTGACTGACACCCGTTCCCTCTTGCTCTCCGACTTTCTTATTTGATATAGGTGATTACGAGCGTATTTACGCGATCCTCTTAATAAAAATAATTAAACGGTAAGCAACCCCGTTACATGGCGCCCAACATAAAAGAACCTACGGTGTTTCTGATTGTTCAAAACACCGGTTCTCAATAGTGACCTTGCGCTCAGTCAACCAGCGACTTAGGTGGCAATCAAGTGTTGTTGTGCACACTTGATATCGAAGGCCACAACAGTAAACATAGCCTGTTAGTGAGCTTGCGAAGGCGTAAAAGTGTAAACATTAGCTGTAAGCGCGTGCGAGTGCGACCGAACGACTCTTAGAAGCGTAAACACCAATAAATTTTGAAAGTTGCCGCAAATCAATAATATTGTACTCGTTGGCCCGAGGAAAACTAACACCGGCAACTTTCAAACGAAATTAATTCAATTTGATAATTTTATTTGATATCGTGTTGTTTTAAAGTAAACGTTTTTTAATATTATTAGCTGCGGTTATTGGTGATTACGCGCGACGCTCGTTATAATATTAGATACTAACTCACACAGCCGCGCTAACAAACAGTTAGCGGGCCTGATAAGTAGGATCATTATATTGTGAAATAACGAGCGAAGAGTCGTTCGGCAAACACATTGTTAAACGCCCTTAATTGAGCCTACTGTCGGCTAATAAAATTTTTTACTTGCGTACAATTTTTTTTAAAACAGCACTCGCACTCGCACCACGCGTAACAAGCTTGTAAATTTTGCGCAAAATTAGCCGCAAGTTAACTAACAGAGGAAAATGGACCGCACTCAAACAGAAATAGAAAACTGGGTGTTGATGCTCCAGGAGGAGGAAATCAATGAGTACCTCGAACACCTGGAGCTGAAAACAAGCGGAAACAAGCTCTCGAGAGCTGCACGACTGCATAACTGGTTGCTTGGCGACTACTCCGCAGCAGATTTCGCGGAAGTCGACAACCAGCACAGCAATCCAGCAAAAAGAGCTGCCCTACGCTCGGAACTGATTGTATCCCTATGCGCAGAACACACAGCATCCAAGCAAGAAGGAGAACACCCGCTAGCCCAGCTGATGCAGAGTGCGGAGGTAATATCGCGAGTACAGAAAACCGCGATAAACATCGCGAATGTCATGGACAGCGGCGAGAACACGAACAGTAATAACTGTATTACTATAACGGCTGATAATGGCAGCTAGTTCCAACTCCCGCCGGCATTCGCGGCGATGATCCAAGACCTCATTTTCCGGTCCAGAGACGAAAACTGTCGTTTACGAAGAAAATTTTCTTTTCTCAGCTGTACGCAATTTATAACCCTAATTTACGAGCTAAGTGTGTGGCCTGTTTTTTCCTGGTCTTTTTCTATGTCGAGCCGCCGTTACAAAACAATAGATGATCGTATCTTTTTCATCAATGCATCAATTAATGTGGGGTATCATCTTACCTAACCTACAGAATACAAATAAATGCATAATACGCAAATTGCAGACTAAGAGAGGTCAGATTTTTGTTTCATATGTTTTTTCAAAGACGATAAATTCATTTTTATCATAATCTATCATAATCATTCGTGATTAAAAAAGAATTATGATCATTGTACAGTGAGTAAAATCTCACTCTCTTCACTTATCTTTCAATACTTACATACAGTAAAATTGCAGATAACCAAGACTCACAAATATTTTTGAAATTAATTTTTTTTCTAAAATAAGTGCTGTAATGTAGGGATATTTGTTTAATTCCATTCCGTTATCTAGTTTCTAATTTTGATATAATGTCTAATTTTGCATGATCTTGTCGTCATGCTGTTGTAACTGATACAGGTCGCCAGTGGAAAACGTGAATTTATTTCTACGTCACAGTCTACACATAAGAGCGAAAAACTAGTTCCTTGAATTTAATGAACGCAATAACAAGTGAACAAACACTTATATAGAAATATGAAGTTACTATGATCAGTGGCAATCCGATAACCGGTCGTTAATGAAAATAAAGAAGCCCTTTTCATAAACTGGAGCTGGTCGCACTTCAATCGTCAGAGTTAAAATAGTTACCTCTGTCGCCGATGCTTGCCTCCGTTTTTTTATTATTGCTCAAATGATCAGAAATGTCAACTCTTACTGTTGTATTTACTCTGATCATACACTTGCGCCGATGTTTTTTTCAGCTATTTTATGGTGTAGTTCATACTTCTTGCTGCTACGAAAAAGTATGAAAAACGCGCTTATCGTTTGGCGAAAACACGGTCGATAATTGTGATTTCGCATTCTTCTCTCTCTCTCTCTCTCTCTCTCTCCCTCTCTCTCTCCCTCTCTCTCTCGCTCTCCCCCTCTCCCCAATCCCTCTCTCTCTCTCCCTTTCTCTCTCTCTCTCCCTCTCTCTCTCTCTCTTTCTCAAACTTTTCTATGACCTGTATGTGGCAGCTATTCGTGCTAGCGACTAACTAAAAACGTGTTCAGCCTCTCGTACAAGACCTCACAGTCTACTAGACAAAATCAAAAACAGTGAGCCCTTATTATTATCAGAACCAATCTTATTTGCAAAAAACACTCCAAACTTCTAAAGCATCACTTTGATAACTCCATACCAATCACTATCTAAACAATTTCACTATTGAACTATAATACAACTTCTGCCCCTATTACTAACTTTCCGCTTATAGAATTAGTTACATAAACATAATTCTCATCAACAGCAACCGTGTCTACCAATGCTACATCCAGATTTAATATCCAGATTAAATAACAATCACCTCAACCGATTGGCACCGAACTTGTACCGAAAATTAAGACTTTTACCTTCGCATTACATCAATATTGTTATACAAGGTATCGCATTTTAAATGACGGATCTGAATATCTTGAAAAGTTCACATTGTACGAAAAAATTGTTCATACAAAAGTTGTTTAAGACAGTGAGGGTCATTTACTTATTAGATCAGTGTTCACCTTGAGAATGATTTTCAAGGTTATTGGAAGGTCAACTTTGTTTTTTTAAATGGAAACCCCCAATTTTTTATCCCAAATTCGGATAGAGCGGGAAATTTTACGTTCAAATCATATAATATGTGTGCGGTTCAAATAACTTCCACCCCACCCTCAATCTATCAACTCTAAAAACCGTATTCGTACCATCCGTAACGCCTTGTCACACTTTTCGCCTATATATCCAACGTGGTACTGCTGTGAGGGTCCTCTAGATTTGGGTTATCGCGCTAATGCTACGCTCGCCTTGGTTTTGCATGTCTTGATCGCGTGCATGTTCGGTCCTGTTATCCGACGGCGAGCGAGCTGCCGTTGGCAAGGCATTGTTAATGTCGAGCGCAACTGCATTTTCTCCCAGCGGCCGAATTTGTTCGCAAGGAGCGGCAACACCTGCTCTCGCCTGTATCGCCTGCTCTTGTTCACATGGTAATTCGGTCGCCAAGGGCGCTGCAGCTGCCGTGAATTCATCGCCCAGGTTCGCGTTTCGCGTGCTTGTTTCTTGCTGTTCGTCGTACAGGTTATCCAGAATTCGGCCTGACGCAAAGTCGTCCGAGCGCAACGGTGGCTGCAAATCTGACCACTCACTTAATAACATATACCGCAAATATCGGGTTCGTAACTTTTCAAGATCACCGTGCAAGCTAAGTTCGTAATAGCGCATTAACTCCAACAGAACAGCTGGTTCTGTGGAGTCAATTTTTTGTTTTAATTTTTTTGTATGCGCATCGCGTAATAACTTGCGCATTACTATTCTATATTTACAGGCTAGCAACATTATTACTTCTGAAAACGAGAATTTGGAAGCTAGCTGTGACGAGTATCATAGGGGCTAAACGAGTCTCGGTCGGTCCGCGTAACCTGACACCATTCTTACTAACTAATTTCTTTCCAAGCTATAAGCCGGCAAGAAATCGCCTTGCTTAAGTCTATAGAAAGAAATTATTATATTTCAAAATTTACTTATCGTATTGTTTGATATACAGCTTGGTAAAATTCTTAGTTTATTTTTTTTTTAATTTTTTACGAAGAAACTAAACGAAAGAAAAAAAAAGAATGCGTTCGTATCTAGCGTCAAAGCGACTCAATGACGCATACGCTGTCACCCGACTCCGCGACGAAGAAAAGGTCACTGGCAACTACTAACAAAGAATTCAAAATACCGAGAAATCGAAATTCTTTCCGAACGTTCTCCTACACGCACAACTTTTGCCGTTAGTACACAAAGAAACTGATTGACCATTATTTTTAAAATTTATGACGAGACCGTTTCTCTCCTTTGTCTTTCGATTGTCAGATCCACAAGGGATGCCATGTGATAAAATCTCTCGTTGCCACTATTTTCAAATATTTTATGGGCAGTGAGGCGCTCTCGCTCATGGTAATCGAGGAGGCAGGAGGGAAAAGTAACGAACGCAATAACTACAACATCGAATCAATTTTACCTTATAATTAATAACAAAATTTAAACGCGTGTTATGCG